CTCAACCTTGTCAACTTGAAGCTGTCCGGACGTCAACTCCCAGAATTCCCCAGCAGTGGTTAGAACAGTGTTTCTCAACCTTGTCAACTTGAAGCTGTCCGGAGTTCAACTCCCAGAATTCCCCAGCCAGCGAATGCTGGCTGGGGAATTCTGGGAGTTGAAGTCCGGACATCTTCAAGTTGCCAATGTTGAGAAACACTGTCCTAGGAGAACCAGCAAAGATGCCTTCCCCGAAGGGTGCCCCGTCTGTTCCTTTTTCAAATTGTAAATTTCCCATCTCCTTTACAGAGGGACTGTAAAGTAAAAGATGAAAAATTAAAGTTTCCCCAAAAGTTAAAAAAGGCTGTTCTAAAGACCCAGAAGGAGAGGTGCCATCGGCTGGCATTTTTATCGAGCGTACCTGGTAAGCCATGGGTGAAGGAGTCGGGTGGTAGCTGGCAGGGGAGTGGGTGTTCTGGTAGCCCACAGGGCTAGGCGCCACTTGGTGGAAACTTTGAGGGCTGGGACTCGGCTGGTAGGAGCCCTGAGGAGACGGGACGGCGTACGGAGAGAACTGCTCCGTGTTGTACCTGTGTGCCAAGACAAGAGGCTTCCTTCAGAGCAGGGAGGACGTCATCTCACTCCCCTCCCGTCCCCTCCCATCTGGGACAGTCCGAAAATCAGCAGCTGCAAAGGGGAACCTCCGGGGGGGGGGGGGGGGGCCTCTCGATGTGAGGTCATTGGTGCTCTCTAAGTTTGATGGTTTTCCTTTTCCTTTCCTTTTCTCTCTCTCCCTCTTTCCCTCCCTCCCTTTTTCCCCACCCATTTCATGACCCAACTAGGAAACACTGTCAGGGCTAGAAGCAACCCCCCCCCCACTTCTAAACTCTCTTGGACTTCTAAGAAAGGACCAAGGACCCCACAGTCCTCCTCCTCTTCTTCCTCCCCTTCTCCTTGGCTCCACAAGGGCCCCTCCCTTCTAGCACAGGTGAGGTTACCTACTGAAGTAACGAAAGGCCTGCAAGAAAACCACCAAGCCCTGAGAACCCTCTAGAACTCCTCCTCCTTCATCCCACAAGCCCCCCTCCGTTCTAACAGGTGTCAGGTCTGCAGCCATCTTTTCTTGTGGGTCTCTGGCGTGCCACACTTTCTATTTATTCTGCTAGGCCTTTTCTATGGTGGGAAAATGGGATCGTACGGAGTTAGATGCTCTGTAGCCATAACAACATTCTTTCCGGAAAGCCAAGGTCATCATCCTTTGTCTCTGCACCTGACTGGAACTGGATGGGTGGAACTGCCAACATAGCAAGGGAAGATTGGACCATGGGATGGACTTGTGGGTGTAGGGGAGGGCAAGATCTTGAACTTTGAACCGGGAAGCTTCCAGATTCGGCTTTCCCCAGATGTGCCAACGTGGCTCTCTGCATAAACGTTCTCTTGGGACTTTAAGGAATCCTTTGCCTCGGACTCCGATTTACTTTCGGATGCTGTTTGGAACCCAGACCCTTGGCCATAAAACACCTGCTAAAGACCTTCCAAGCTCCGAGGGCACCAAGAAAGTCCTCCGTTCAACCCTGAGCTACAGAGATTCCCTTCTGTCCGTAGTGTCAGCACGGGTGCCTGTCCGGGGTTAGCCAACCAACCCATTAGCCACCCTCCAGCCAAGCGATCTCAGCGCTGGGACACTTACATGGCTGGGGTTCCGGGCGTCTGAGGGTTGTATGGAGGGTTAACCTGCGGGGAGGAAGGGTCTGGGTAGCCTGGGGTCTGGGGGTTGGGGGTTCCCCCGTAGCCTTGGGGAGAAGGCGTGGGCTCATCGTTGAATCCGTAGTCAAACTCTTCCTCTGGCCTGTAGAAAAAGCATCCAGTTCAGCCCCCAGGCTCTGTGTGCCAAGACACCCCCCCGCACAGCCCTGACTCCCTCCACAGGACCGGAAGCCCTACCTCGAAGGGGTGTTGGGATCCCAGGCGCCGCTCTGGGCGGGTGTCCGGCTGCCATCATGTAAGGGTGTTTGGGAACCATAGTGCGGCGTACGGTTTCCTGAAAAAACAGACGCGTTTATTAGTCTGTTATTGTGTGGAACGAATTCCCCTCGCACTGCTACACACCACCTACTACTCCTGTTCTTACTACTCCTACTCCTACACAACAACAACCACCAAATCCAGATGATTTTCTGCCTGGATTTTACAGTTGCTTGTTGCTGGGCAGCCTAGGCAGAGATCTTAATAGCAGCTAGACTTATATACCGCTTCATAGGGCTTTCAGCCCTCTCTAAGCGGTTTACAGAGTCAGCATATCCCCCCCAACAACAATCCGGGTCCTCATTTCACCCACCTCGGAAGGATGGAAGGCTGAGTCAACCCTGAGCCGGTGAGATTTGAACAGCCGAACTGCAGATAACAGTCAGCTGAAGTGGCCTGCAGTGCTGCACTCTAACCACTGCGCCACCTCGGCTCTCTCTTAAAGGGGCAGGGCACCACCAGCTCAGGTGCCAGCCGATTTCCAGGCAGCCCGCCCTCACATGCAATGTCCTCAGGTTAGGGAATTCAACAGCCTCCTTGTTCAAATACGGGCGAAGGGTGAGAGAGGCGTTTCGGGATAGCCAGCAGGGCAGATGCTAAGAAACCCACCACCCCCTCCTGGCCAGACAGTTGTCCGTCCCCGTCCCCCCCCTCTTTCTCCTACTCACCTTCGTGCTGGGTCCCGTACATGGGCGTACGGGAACCGGAGCCGTACATAGGCGTCTGGGAGCCGTACATGGGGGTGCGCCCGTAGCCAGAGGGCATGCCGGATGGCTTTTTGGAATCCCTGCGAAAGGAGGGGAGCGAAATGAGTTGGGTCCCAGAAAGCAGGCGTATCATCCCATTCGGCTCAGCCGGATTCAGAGGGCCTCCCGTCCGACCCAGAGGACGTTTCTGACACCATGCACAGGGCGCGTGGGCTCTCCCTCCCTCCCTCCCTCCCCATCTCAAATCAGGTCTTACACGATCGTCAGATGTTCCCGATCCACCGAGATGGTCTGGCAGGTGGAGTGCAGCTCCACCCTGGCGGTGGATTCCGTGGCATCCTTGACCATGCCGATGTAGCCTGGAAAAAGACGGAGCAGGGAGGTTCCACGGGGGCAGGCGTCAAATGAGAGTGCAGCCTGGAATCTCTGCACAGCCGCAAATGAGCCAATTCTGTTGAATGCTTTTCTAACTCCCAGGAGAGGGGTGGGCAATTATGAACCCTTTGCGACCTGCGAACTTTCAGCTCCCAGAATTCCTGAGCCGGCTGCTGGCTGAGGAATTCTGGGAGTTGAAGTTCGCCGGTCGTAGAGGGTTCATAACTGCCCACCTGTCCTTCCAGGTGTTAATTTTAATTGAGAAGATTCCTCCAGGTAGGCGCAACTGGCGATACATCCGCTTCACTGGACCTTTAACACTGGGACCTGATCTTTCACCCCTGGCTACAGGTGAGCGATCAGGGCAACACAACCTTCCCAGACAGCTTCTGACAGGGTGCACTTAAGGACCGTACGATTCTCTTTAACAACGGCGACGATCTGCGTAACAGTGGACCAAAAAAAACAACCCACAACCCCCCGCCCAGTGTGGTGTCCCTCTCACCTTTGTAAGACCCTCGGGAAATCCGCACCGTCTGTCCAATCAGGTCATTATCCCTGCGCCCACGGCCTCGGTTCATTCCGCCCCCGCCAAAGCCGCCCCGTGGCCCTGCAGAAGGTAAAAAGAAGCAAGTGTGCAAAGAGGAAGGACCTCCCCGGGGGGGGCTCCTTGGGAGGGGGGGGCTGTGTGCATGGTGGCCCTTTGCTGAAGACAGATGTGGGTGCCACTCTCTTCCTGCTGGGGCAGCCCATCTAATGCCTTTCCTCGCCCCCTCTTCGGAGGGCATTGCCATACGCAATGGGCACCTATACCATATTTTTCGGAGTGTAAGACGCACCTTTTCCCACCCTAAAAGAGCGTGGAAATGTTGGTGCATCTTATACACCAAATACAGCTATTTTTGGCCCCGCCCCCCACATCCCATTTTTGAAAAAAACGGGCTATTTTTCACAAAAAATCAAAAGGCATTTGTGCCTTCCCCCAACCCCCCAGAAGCGCTCTGCAGGCTTCAGCAGGGCTGGGGGAAGGCAAAAATGTGTTTTTGTGAAAAACAGGCTGTTGCCGATCACCTCCCATAGACCGATTAGATCTCACAGGTTAGGTCTCCTCCGCATTCCATCTGCCAGCCAATGTCGGCTGGCGACTCCCCGGGGGAGAGCCTTCTCTGTTGCAGCTCCAGCCCTTTGGAACGAGCTCCCCGTGGAGATCCGGACCCTCACTACCCACCCGGCCTTCC